AGAGAGAGAGGGCAGGGGTGGAGAGAGAGGGCAGGGGTGGAGAGAGAGAGGGCAGGGGTGGAGAGAGAGGGCAGGGGGGTGGAGAGAGAGAGGGCAGGGGGGGGGAGAGAGAGAGGGCAGGGGTGGAGAGAGAGGGCAGGGGGTGGAGAGAGAGAGGGCAGGGGTGGAGAGAGAGAGGGCAGGGGGTGGAGAGAGAGAGGGCAGGAGGTGGAGAGAGAGAGGGCAGGGGTGGAGAGAGAGAGGGCAGGGGGGTGGAGAGAGAGGGCAGGGGGTGGAGACCAACAACGCTGGCACAGAGAGAGTAGCGCCCGCCAGTCTCCAAGCCTCGCCTAATAATGAACGAGGTCGGTCATACGGAGTTACCTGTTAAGTCTCCACGGTGGGAGGGAGGGAGAGAGAGACACATGGGAGGGAAGTGTGGGGGGAAGGGAGAGGGGGAAGGGGGGGAGAAAGGGAGGGGGAGAGGGGGGGAAGGGAGGGAGAGAGAGAAAGGAAGCGAGGGAGAGAAAGAAGAGGACCAGGAGGACGATTTGTTATCTTTCAGCAGAAAATATTATCTATAACTATGTCTGTCTGACCGAGGCTTGAGGCCTGACGCTCGTGGCTAGCATCACCAAACTTTGCAGGGTGCATGGTCTGATGTACGGGACGGCCATAAGCTAGTCGGAGTCAGTCCTGTTAAAGGGTGGGGATGTCTGAACCAATAATGACCCCCCCCCCCTACATAATCGGTGAAAATTGCAAGCCTCCTCCACGATCTGTCTCGGTAAATACCAGGCTTCGTCCTCTTTAAGACATATTAAGCATTTTATTTTCGACATGATTAAATGCTAATTTGATAATTTTTAATGAAGACTATGTATTTACGATTTAAGGGAGCTGGTCGGCCGAGCGGACAGCACGCTGGACATGTGATCCTGTGGTCCTGGGTTCGATCCCAGGCACCGGCGAGAAACAATGGACAGAGTTTCTTTCACCCTATGCCCCTGTTACCTAGCAGTAAAATAGGTACCTGGGTGTTAGTCAGCTGTCACGGGCTGCTTCCTGGGGGTGTCCCTTAATTGGTTTAAGCGTGGGTTGGGCATGTATATGAGTGGGATTGGGTTGGTTATAAATAGGAGCCGCGGGGACACTAAAGCCCCGCAATCATCTCAAGATAACCTCAAGATAACCTGGGAAGGGGGTCAGGATAAGGATTTCGGATGGGACGGGGGGAAAGGAATGGTGCCCCAGCCACTTGGACGGTCGGGGGGATTGAACGCCAACCTGCATGAAGCGAGACCGTCGCTCTACCGTCCAGCCCAAGTGGTTGGGCTGGTTCAGGATAGCCAGAGTGGGAATAATAGTGAGATGTGGGGCGGAGGACAGTGGCAAAAGTGGAAAGGAAATGGAATAGTAGGCAAGTTGGGGGGAGGCGGGGAGAAGAGGGAGAGGAGTGGGAAGGTGAGTATTGATGACTAGGGTTGCAGCACGCACGCACGCACGCACATACTGCAAAATGAACCAGAGACTCCGGTAGCGGCTTGAAGTCTAGCTAACCCACGGATGACCGAGATAACATTACTGTCAGAGAAGTAAATATATAGAATGAACAAGGCAGTAATATAGACCTGACAGTGCCAAAACGCTTCAGAAACATGCACACCTCGGTTGACAGGTGAACACTGTGTTCCACCTGTACTCTGAAGGTTGACAGGTGGAACTCAGGAGCTGCAGCAGAGCTATTTTGAGTGTATACAAACATGGGCGCGCAAAACGTACGTCTGCGTGCAGTTTGAGAGGCGGGACCCGGGAGCTGAAGTTCAATCCCACGCGCGCGCACGAGGACACGGTTATGTATACAAATAATAATTAAGTGTCTGTGGGACAGGCAGCCAGTATATATATATATATATATATATATATATATATATATATATATATATATATATATATATATATCCCAGGATACACCCCACAACAAGTTAACTAACTCCTGGGTACCTATTTACTGCTAGGTGAACAGGAGAGGGGGGCATTAGGTGATAGGAAACGCGCCCACCCATTTCTGTTCCGCCATGGGATTCGAACCAGGAATTACCGATTGTCCAGCGAACCCGACTATACTACCGGTTTGTGAATACTAAGCAATGTTTCATATACTAAGATCTATAATATACTAACTCCTCCCCCCCCCCCTACCCATGGACAGAAACGATTGGGCACGTCCATTACAAGGCCTCAGTGAGTAGCAACCCCCGCCAGGGGATGAAAAAGGGGGGGGGGAACCTGCTGACACAGTGAACCGGTCTGTCAGCCGCCCCCCCTCACCCCCTTACCACCCCTAAGCTGACAGCCAGCGTGGCGATCCGCCAGCTGCTGTCACAGGTTAATTCCTGGCAAGGTCGCCGCTGTGGTGTGTCCGCGGGCAGTGGCGGCACTGTGACTCGTTATGGCAAGGTGGTAAGTGGCCGGGGGAGTAGGGGGTGATGTGGGGGAGGCAGTGGGGGAGAAGGGAGGAGGCAGTAAGGGAGGCAGTAAGGGAGGCAGTGGGGGAGAAGGGAGGAGGCAGTAAGGGAGGCAGTGGGGGAGAAGGGAGGAGGCAGTAAGGGAGGCAGTGGGGGAGAAGGGAGGAAGCAGTAAGGGAGGCAGTAAGGGAGGCAGTGGGGGAGAAGGGAGGAAGCAGTAAGGGAGGCAGTGGGGGAGAAGGGAGGAGGCAGTAAGGGAGGCAGTGGGGGGAGAAGGGAGACAGTGGTGGCCGGGGAAGCAGTGCAGGTCAGCGCAGGAGGGAGACAGCGATCAGTAAGGCAGTAGTGAAAGTGTACAGTAGGGTGGGGGGGGGGGAGGTGAGTCAACACAGGTTAGGCCAGTTGTGTGTCATCAGTCACCTTCCCCACTGTAACACCGCCTCATCATCTCCACCCCCAAAGCCGCAAAATACACAATTCAAAAATTAAATACAGCCTACAAACACATCCACCATGAACAAATACAGTATCTCCCCCACACAAATATGAACCTGCAAAGAAGAATAGCAAAATATGAACATAAGTAATCGAGTGTGCATAGACGAATGCAAAAAAAAAAAAAATAACATTCACCAATGCACATCCACGTACGTTGAAATACACGTGGAGAACCGTATATTCCTCAGCAACCTGATAAAAGAGAGAGAACAGGCTTACCTTAGCTACCAAACACATAAACATCGTGTCACCGTAGTGAAGAACACTCCCCGCCTGCTGTCACGGTCTCACTGTATTCCAAACTTCTACTTTCCTAATGCACACACTCTTCTATAATAGTGCCTATGACACCCACACTTTGTCCTTGTATATATTATTGTACAGCAGGCGATGAATCACAATAACGTGGCTAAAGTAAGTTGACCAGACCACATACTAGAAGGACGACGACGTTTCGGTCGTCTACTTGAGAATGGTCCAGGACGGACCGAAACGTCGTCATCCCTTCACCTTCTAGTGTGTGGTCTGGTCAACTATTATTGTACAGGTTTGTCACCTGACCTTCCAGTATTTTGCCATGTGTATATTATGATATATATTTCTGGTGACCGTCCTTTCGTTTGCCTTAAAAGGGGGACGTGAGGATAGTTAACATGCAGCAGATACAACAAGGCCAGCAGGCGGGGTATAAATAGCCAAACTTCACTTCCCCGTAGTCACTGTTAGGTAAACACTACCCAAGCCTCGAACGTCACCACCACCACCACCATCTTCCCGGCCGTAACCTCCCCCACCACCTCCATCTTCACCACCACCACCACAACCAACTTAAGAAAGTACAGAGATTTGCTACAGGATTATTGCCAGAGTTATGAGGATAGGGTAATGAGACCGAATCTCACAACCCTAGACGATAGAAGTCACAGCGGGGACATGATTACGACATACTGAGACGACTAGACAAGGAGGACAAGGATAGCTTCTTCAAACTTAGAGAAAGTAGGACAAGAGGAAACACACGAGGAAGCTGGAAACACAGATGAGACGAAGGAATATAAGGAAACTCTCGTACCCGGTACAGGTTGCCAACAAGTGGACGGCCCTGAGGGAGGAAGTACTTGAGGGGACACAAACTTTAAGGCCAGATTCCACAAAGAATTTGGACGTCAAAATAGTTAAATACAACAGGGACAAAACGGCAGGTATAGACGGAGCATAAAGAGCTAAGCCTCACTCACCCCCCCCCCGGTGGAGACTGATAGGTAAGAACCACCACCACATGAGGAGCTAAGTCTCAATTGCCTACAGTTAGGTAAGCAACACTACTACCTTCCCTCTCCCTTTAATCGACACAAGGAAGAAGGCAGCTTACACAGCAGGAAACAGCTCCAGGAGCAGGAAGGAAGGAGGACTCTATTGTGAAATGTTAACAGAGCCGGACCAGCCCACCAAGAAGGACGGTCAGCAGGAGGCAGCAGAGCTAGGTGAGGGATGGACCCCGGTCAGCAGACTACCCAGGCACAAACTAGGATGCAGAGCCATCAGAAAGATCGGAGAACAGAGTAGATGTCTGGTCAGGAGGCCTTTTCAGAAACCGGGCCGCGGGGGCGTTGATCCTAGGAATGATCGAGGGGGGAGGGGGAGGGGGAGGGGGGGAGTAAGAAATCCTAAACTCTACAACTCACAAGGTCCGAAACCTTCACTCCAACCACACCCAAAGACACCCACTTACTTCCTCGGGGAGAAAACACAAACACACACTGATACACCTTATGTGTATCAAACGTTGTTTCAAAACGTCTTTTCCTATTCTAGAAACGGTAAACCCACACAGATACTTACGATAGCCTTTGACTGACCACCAGGTACACTTAGAAAATATCTGAAAAGGGGTTCTGAGAGTTCTTCTACTCCCCCAAGACGGGCTGGGGTCAGGTTGGACCTGTTATAACTTGATCCAGTAGGCTGTTGCTTGGAGCGGGTACTGTATTTGTGTCGTGTTCAAGAAAGGTTGAGAGAGAAAAGGTAGAAAGGGGGGGGGTATATGGTACTGACCCTGCGTGCCCACCAGGATGAGGGGGACCTCGGCCGTGCTGCGGTAGTGGGCCATCTTGGCGAAGTAGTTGTAGATGGCGTTGAAGGAGGACTCATTCTCCAGGCTGAAGACGAAGATGACAGCGTCCACCCAGGCCGTGAACTGTGGCAGACAGGAAGGTTATATTACACGTGGTCACGCTCTCTCTCTCACACACACGCACGCGCAAACACACACACACAAGCACACGCAAACACACACACGCAAGAACACACGCATCGCTCGCTCACCCTCGCTGTTCCAGCCTTCCCTCACCCTCCTCCTCCCTACATCTTACCGCCCCTCGGGCGCATAATACGTGTCTAAGTGTCAGGTGGGCGACCCCTCAGTTTGTAATACGAGTAATTTCCCCTCACCCCTTTCCTGACGAGAGGGGGTGACGTGGGTGGCCCTGTAACACTGGTTAGAGTTCCTCTCTCTACTTCCTTCTTTCTTTGCCCTCTACCCGTATTCTTACTTTTTATTCTCTACCAAGGGACTCCAAAACTTTTACCAAAGCCAACTCCACGCCACGTGGTCCTAAGACGATTGACCGACTTAGGATTCTACACCCAGTATGACGTGACCTAGGCTCTGAGCAAAACCCTAGAGTCGCCTCTACGCTGCCACCACCAGACCAGTAACACAGAGCAATGATCGAGGTCTGGATCGATCACGCTAATTAATCAACCTTGGGGCTTGATCCCCACTATAAACGATGACCTTGAGTGTGGAATAAATTACACGGTAATGATAATTCCGATTCGATGTTAGAATCGGCACCCAGTCCTACTCTGCCTCGTGTGGACCACGTGACCAGGACAAGTGTACACATAAAACACATGGAAACAATGAAAATGCAAATTCTTAACTTAATTTATTACAAGAAAACTAAAACAAAAATCTAAATATGTTCACTCCCTGTCACTTTAACACTCCCTACTTGACCTGAATGGCAAATGAGAAGACTATCCCTATAATTAACAATAGCAACTATACCTTGGGCGACCAGCTCTAGATGTTGGGGCTGGTCTCGGGGAGAGGTAAGATGTTTGACCTCTTATCCCAGCTGCTCCCGTTTCCACACTGATCTCTCCCTTGTCTGGTCTAACCCCAGACAGAACATTGTATCCTTCCGCCTAGTCAAAGTTTAACCAAGTTACTAGCCAGGTTTAAGTTATAACAATTAACCTCTGTTGTACTTAATTGATCCAGACTGGTTGAGTTATTTTACTGAAATTAAATTACACAAACATCTACGGCAGAGCTGTTCCCAATCACAAAAATGGTTATTAAAACTTTGAGAAATCGTAGACCTGTCAACCCTGATGACCTATGACCGCCGGTCACTCCGCCTTACAAGTTAGATCTGATTCGTGACGTCACTGATGGTGACTTAAACTCAATAATTAGAATACTCTTGATATTGTATCCAGTACTATTATACAATACAATTTTAATGCAAAATGAATAAAGGCTAATTTTCTCTAAATTACTGAATACTATAGGATGGTTCATTATACGCAGCTATGAACAAAGATGCCCGCCATTTGTGACTCAGACCTGCTAATTCCCAGGGGACTGGGCGTTGTTGAGAGGTCAGGTCCCTACTCGAACTTCTGGAACCTTCTGGAATAATTCTTACAACAGCCTAGTTTGTTACAGCCCGTCTCCACAGCCCTGGTGCCAGTTATGCGGGTGTGGCCTTGTTCTATCAATACAGTGAGAGATATACATGAGATATACATATATACACCATGAGATATACATATATACACATGAGATATACACATATATACACGAGTTATAACCTGCCAGGGGGAGAGGAGGAAAATATGCGACAGCCAGAAAATGACACTCATAGGCTTGTTAAAAAAAAATCGTATATGGAATTTGGATACGATGATAGGCCTAGCCATGCAGAGGAAAACACTAAACATGCTATAAACTCATCACTCTGTTACTACAAGCAGCAGCAGCACCTTCTTGTACTGCCTTGTTACCTTGAGGTGGTTCCGAGGAGCACATGTCCTCGGTGGCCAAGTCTCTTTGACTAGACGTCCTGGTTGTTGGTCTGGTCAACCAGGCTGTTAGGGGTGCCGCTGCTCGCCGCACTCTAACACGTCAATTACAGGTACCGTTCATGCAGGTTCACTTTTGAACGCCGTGAGAGGTCAGCTAGCTTTGCCCCATTATGCAGGCGATGAGTCACAATAACGTGGCTAAAGTATGTAGATCAGACCACATACTAGAAGGTGAAGGGACGACGACGTTTCGGTCCGTCCTGAACCATTCTCAAGTCGATTGTGACTTGAAAATGGTCCAGGACGGACCGAAACGTCGCCGTCCCTTCACCTTCTAGTGTGTGGTCTGGTCTACATGCCCCTTTATGTATGGAGGGAGAGGTAGCACCAGGCTGGAAACTTGGAGAGCTGGGGCCAGATTCACGAAGCAGTTACGCAAACACTTACGAACCTGTACATCTTTTTTCAATCTTTGGCGGCTTTGTTTACAATTATTAAACATTTAATGAGCTCCGAAGTACCAGGAGGCTGTTTATAACAATAACAACAGTTGATTGGGAAGTTTTCATGTTTGTAAACTGTTTAATAAATGTAACCAAAGCCGTCAAAGGTTGAGGAAAGATGTACACGTTCGTAAGTACTTGTGTAAGTGCTTCGTGAATCTGGGGCCTGGACACCAAGAAGGTAAATAGTGATCACTCCATCTGAGTACTGTGAACCACCTTCCAAGGCTCACCTTTCCAAGGCTCACCTTTCCAAGGCTCACCTTTCCAAGGCTCACCTTTCCAAGACTCACCTTTCCAAGGCTCACCTTTCCAAGGCTTACCTTCCAAGACTCACCTTTCCAAGACTCACCTTTCCAAGGCTCACCTTTCCAAGGCTCACCTTCCAAGGCTCACCTTTCCAAGACTCACCTTTCCAAGGCTCACCTTTCCAAGGCTCACCTTCCAAGGCTCACCTTTCCAAGACTCACCTTTCCAAGGCTCGCCTCCCAAGAGCCTATTGGCTAGATCAACGCTGGTTTAAAGTGACTAGTTGAGCTCAAATCTGGCTTCCAGGGAACATAGGATTAAGGACTTGCCCGAAACGCTACGCGTACTAGTGGCTGTACAAGAATGTAAGAACTCTTGTATATAACATAAACGTATAACTGTAACTGACATTAAATCCAGTTCATTGTAACTAGATGAGCTGAAATCGCATTTACTTGATTGGTAAACTCATCTAGGCTACAGATTCGTCGTTACGTCTATCACACGAGGGAAGTGTAGTGTGTGAACTAAGGCAGGGAAGTACACTACAGCATTACATCTTAAGACAGAAAAAACTGATCCATTTAGAGATAAATCTAAGCTCACGCTGGATGAAATTGCAAATCATTACAAATGACATTTGATATTCATTACTGTGTCCATATATATTTGGTTCCAGTGAATAAATGACACGTTATGATTAGTCTATAAGCTGTGTACACGTGTAGGTTCACAAGATGAGTATGAGATGCACAATAAACTACCACTCCCAGGATGAGTATGAGATGCACAATAAACTACCACTCCCAGGATGAGTATGAGATGCACAATAAACTACCACTCCCAGGATGAGTATGAGATGCACAATAAACTACCACTCCCAGGATGAGTATGAGATGCACAATAAACTACCACTCCCAGGATGAGTATGAGATGCACAATAAACTACCACTCCCAGGATGAGTATGAGATGCACAATAAACTAATCAGTCTCCGGTGGCAACAAACCACTGACACAGGTATCGTCGCTACTCCAACGTCTGGTGGGGGGGGGGGAGAATGGAGGGAGATTGGGGTGGGGAAAAAGATAGAGGGATAGGGAAGGGGAGAACTGATAATTCCCCCTATCATGTACTAGACGGGAAGTTCCCCTCACCCCGCCTTAAGTATTCACCAGCAGGCCGGCACTCCGGCGCACCTACACTCACGCACTCACCAGTTACTCAGCGTGAGTGACGCGAAGAAAAACACGTCGTGGACGAGACGGTGCAGAGCGAAGCAAAGGGCAACACATGTGGAAAAGGAAGGATTTTCACGTGGATAGAAAAGGACTGCGACATATGGATGGTAGGACGAAGGGTAGGAGGCGGTAGGGCGGAACCAGAAGAGGAGGAGGGGACGTGGAGGAGGAGGTAGGCAGGGTTTGGGTGGAGGTAGGGGAAGGGGGGTGGGCGAGAGAGGGGGGGCGTGCTGCCCCCTCCACACAGACAACTGACCCAGTTCACCATCACCCAGGTTAAAGCTGTCAGCTGAGACCATCCGTCCCCCCCCCCCCCCATACAATAATGGCAGTGACCATATCACAGGCCACTCACTACAGGCTACCCGAACAGGTCACCATTGTAAACAAAAACTAATTACTATAAATATATAGCATCTTGGTGGTCTTTCGCCGCTGATAAAAGAGGGACTTAGAAGGGTCGAGGATAAGTCTGGAAGAATTCCTTTCCAAGACAATCATCTTCACCTGTCGTGAGAGAGGCCACACGCACCGTCGTTAGCGGTCCTGGCGTGTCACCCTCGTCAGATGCGTGTCACCCTCGTCAGATGCGTGTCACCTTCATGCGGATGGGTGTCACCCTCGTGGGATTGGTGTTCCCTAATTAACGTTAGTCCAATATAATGTACAATAGTCCCTAAGGAAGACACAGCCAACCAGAGAGAGTGGGGGGGGGGGAGGGGGTAATTATATATTGGTCGGAACAACATCAACGCCCACAACATCAACCCCCACAACATCAACGCCCCACAACATCAACGCCCCACAACATCAACCCCCACAACATCAACCCCCACAACATCAACCCCCACAACATCAACCCCCACAACATCAACCCCCACAACATCAACCCCCACAACATCAACCCCCACAACATCAACCCCCACAACATCAACCCCCACAACATCAACCCCCACAACATCAACGCCCCACAACATCAACCCCCACAACATCAACGCCCACAACATCAACACTCTCTCAAGCCACGATATATTGATCAGGTCCAGGGACAACATCCCTAGTGACAATTAAGGGAGAATGGCCCTACCCAACATTAGCAACATCAGA